CTCCGTTGAGACGAATTCTCGAGCGTGCTCAGTTCAAGTTAGATATGGACGGCAAGGTTATCCAGGCTGGTAAATTCGACAACAAATCCACTAACGAGGAACGAGACGCCCTTTTGCGTACCTTGCTCGAAACTGCGGAGAACGCAGACCAAATTAATGACCAGGACGAGATGGATGATGATGATCTTAACGAAATCATGGCCCGTTCCGAAGCAGAATTTGCCCTTTTCCAAAAGATTGATGCGGAGCGGATTAAAAACAGCGAGTACGGCCCTGGACACAAGTACCCTCGTCTCCTTGCAGAGGAAGAATTGCCCGACATCTACCTCACCGAAGAGAACCCTGTAGCCCCTGCAGTCGAGGAGGTGGCCGGCCGTGGTGCTCGAGAACGCAAGAACATTAAATATGACGACGGCTTGACTGAAGAACAATGGTTAACAGCTGTTGATGGCGATGAAGAAACGCTTGAAGAGACAATTGCCAAGAACGACGCCAGAATGGAACGGCTTCGTGCGAACCGCGAGAAGCGTCAGAGGAAAGCGCAAGGGCTTGACTCTTCCCCAGAGCCTTCCAGAGAGACATCCGTCACCCCACAGCAAAAGAAACGCCGTAAGGGACCCGTACCAAAACGCAAGGCTGATGAAGCCATCGATGACGCTCCCTCCAAGCGCAAGAAAGGCCGAGTTAGCAAGGCTGCGGACTCTCTTACCAATTCTGAACGTGCTACATTACAGAAAACCCTTAGCAATGTCTACCAGGCTCTCATGGACCTTGAGGAGGATGTTCCCGCCGACTCAGAAGATAGTGACGATGAGCCTATGACACGTTCTGTTATCGAACCGTTCATGAAGCCCCCGCCGAAATCGCAGTATCCAGACTATTATATGATCATCCAGACCCCGATGGCTATGGACATCATCAAAAAGAAGATCAACCGCGAGGAGTATCGAAACCTCAAGGACTTCCGCGAGGATATTCGCTTACTCTGCACCAATGCCCGGACATACAATGAAGACGGAAGTATCCTCTTCCAGGATGCCAACAATATTGAGGTGAGTTTATAATCAATTCCTTTACCATGTCACTTTTATTCTTGGGTCTAACGTGTTGTTTCCTTCAGGCTACTTGCGACGCTGAACTAAAGAAGGAGACTGAACAACACCCTGAGCTTGCTGACTTGGATGACGTCGGTTCATCCGTGGGCGACGAATAGTTCTTTGTGGTTTCAAGTATTGGCATACCCCTTGTATAATGTATCTACTTCGGCCTCTGGGCGTCTCTATAGTTTTTATGTAGAGTAATATTATAAAGTAAAATTTTTTTAACTTACAACATTTTGAATAGACGTAGAATAAACAAATACTTCACATGGATTCCTCCTATGCCTGGTAGATATGAACATGGGTGCTTTGTCAGAATTGCAGCCTAGTGGATTCGCGTGAAATTAATGACATGGGAAGACGCACCCTCTTATCTTATTCTACATCAGCAATGCTGAACCACCTACTTCCACAATACGCCTCGATTTCCCGTCAACACTAAACCAGGGACAATTAACTAGATCCTTCATCGACGTGCGGCTTGGAAGGTCAGCTTTTAATATTTTTCAAATCATCAATCATAAGACGAGAGTTTTCCTTCCACAGAGGCTCTGGTATGGCCTTGGGCCTGTACTTCAACATAATGTCACGAATCTTGTCCCAGTCATCGTCTAGAGCTGGGTTAAAGGCCGCTACATGAATCATTGATGGGTTGTTGGTCTACCACGTAAAGATATTATTTAGAATGTAGCTGCCTGACCCTTCAACATATTTCCTGTCTATATAGGGCGGCCATGCAATGCAAGAGGATAAGAAATCAAAAAGGACAGGCTCTAACCATTTCTAAGCGAATAATCTTCACACATACCTTGTCACTCGTCGATGAACGGATATGATGATTACGAGTTCCACTAGGTCCAGAGGAGGAAGCATGTAAAGTGGTAAAGCATTGGTCCGATCTGCTGGGTTCAATAAAGTGTTGCTTCCATTCCACTAAAGCAATTCAATTGATTGGCTTCACCATGCTCGCGAAGGCTAGGGAGGGCCAAAGCAAGATTTCCAAAATGAAGGGTTGTCAGATATTATGACTTTAGTCCACCTGCGATGGTTTGATATTGGGGGAGAGAGAGAAGAGAAACCAACACCCCATACATGATATCCAAACTATGCAAATATGTAAGACGTCTCTATTTGATGGATGAAACTCTTGACATGGAAATCAAGGATATCAATGGCGTTTTAAGTGACCAGAAAAGCGAAACCACATGCTCCACCATCAGGGCGTCATGGGTAATATTCGGGGCCTTAACTTGAAACTGATCTAGTAGGTGTGCGATGTGGTGGTGGTACCCAGGACGCTCGTTTAGTTGATCTCGTAGCCAGACCAGTAAGCCGGTTTTATTCTGGTTGGTGGCGGCACCCGCTGTAAGCATTCTAAGTGCTACATAGCGCCTATTCAATACAATTAATATCGTGACTGACCGGATGGGATGTCTTGTGAAAGAAGATACTTATACAAATCCTGTGGACTCATCCTTTGTAACCCAAATAGCTATAAAGGATCAATATCTTGGTTTATCAAGTATTCCGCACGTCGAGTTCCAGCTACTTTGAAAGACATCGCCAAGTTTGACGGGATGGTAGCCACCTGGTATATATAGACAAATGTTTTCGGCGTTTTCATTGGGAACAAAGTGAAATTTCTGAATTGGTTCCATTGTTGCGGAAGAACTCAGGCAAGTCAACAATGATTGCTGCAAATAAAGATTCCCTTGGATATGTCTAATAATGAACTGGACCCAAGATAAATTGGCCAATATGTCGTGCACCAGTCTTAGGTATTATCAGGTATTCCATTCTTAAGATAGCACCCCATCCTCGTCCCAATCAATAGCCACTGCCACTTTCGGGATCACCGCGCCAGGAAGACATTGATGAATATATGAATACTCAGGCTATTCAGGTTCCGGGTTAGTTGTACCTGTTGTCATACACTAATATTATCTAAGCAACGTACGCTTATCTTATCATACCGCGTCTAATACCACGTGACTTACAATTAAGGTTATGCCGTCAACCTTGAATTCTTCGAGTTTCCGTTCAGGTTCTTTCATATTCATCCATCTTGCCTGCGCGTCTGATTCCAACTGTGGTTACCAGTGTTAGTCTAGCTATAGCGCCGCTAGGACTCTCTATTAGTATAGGCCGAAAGGATGAACAACGGTGAAACAGGCAGCAACGATTTCTACCGCGCAAGTACCCGCTCAGCGTTTTCATGGGTATATATATATAAAATGGCAGTTCCCGCCTTTTAGGACCAAATAACTATAGTCCTTCCATATGCCTTGCCCCGATACCCTAGAGCCTTCTCGCAAACGACAGAAATCGGAGGACCATATCGACGGAAACTCGCGTCAATTAAAAAGGCTGAAGACCAGCAGCCACCCACCTCCGGAATTTTGGGACAATCTGTCGAAGATTTGGTTAACAAAAGACGCTTTACAGGAGCTGGACCGGCGCAACCACTCCTTAAACGTAGAAGAATTGCAACAACATTCTCGGCCACAACATTCTCATCGGCCACTAACTCGACGTCTCCAGAATACACTAAAACGCCGTTGCCAGACACCGATTCCCGACCCGTTAAACGGCTGTAAACCCAAGGTTGTAAGGGAGATAAAGAGGCTCTCTAGACGGGGTGGACCTGACCTTTCGGACCTTAGAGATGTATGTTATTATACTATTATAGTGATGCAATGCCCATACTAACATCTTGTCGCAGTATCCATATCCACATATCCCCTTTTATCAATCAATGAGTACAAAAAGCTCTCAGGGCAGGAAGCGCCCTGCGGAACCTCCATCAGAGAGCCAAGTCAAGACCACCACAAAGACTTCAACGGCCTACAACCGGAACTTTCAACAGCACCTGACTCAACATGGAGTGTATATGAAGGGTTATATGTACCCTGATGGTCGAATGCCGGTAAAACCAAACAACTGGGAACATATAAATGAGGTCCTGGCCCGGTCAAGGCGGTCTCTATCTCCCTCACAATTTTCTGAAACAGACTTTCAGGAATTTGAACAAGCAGACACAAATGCTGGTGAAGAAAGACCAGTAACAACTTCAGTCATTCCAACCATTGAGGGTAAAATTAAGTATCGCAATTGCCTTGGAGAGGATTACTTATTTTCAAACCTTGCCCCCTTAACGGATGGTTCTTTAGCAAGTGCAAAACCAGATCGCTTCTATGGTGCTCGCCCTGAGCAACTTAACTCTCAGATTCTTCAGGAACTTGGGGGCCATCTTATCCCATCAACAACAGGTCACCGTCCAGTAGCCCCAAATTTCTTCCTTGAAGCAAAAGGGCCAGACGGGTCCCTTAATGTTGTCACGCGGCAAGCTTGTTATAATGGTGCCCTGGGAGCTCGAGGAATCCATAGCCTTCAGTCATACAAGCAAGCAGAGCCTATCTATGATAATAATGCCTATACGATAACAACAACCTATCATGGTGGCACACTCAAGCTTTATACAACACATATCACTGCCCCTCAGAAAAGTGACGGACGTCCCGAATATATTATGACTCAACTAAATGCCTGGAGCATGGTTGGGAACATAGAGGGCTTCCGCCAGGGCGCATCTGCGTATCGAAATGCTCGAGATTGGGCGAAGGAACAGAGGGATCAGCATATAAACGCTGCAAATGAGAGATTCCAGCAAGCCCAATCCGAACTTCCCTCCGCATCCGAACATGAGACCACCTCCGGGCTAACTGTGGACGGTTCTGATACATCAGCCATGTCTGATGAAGCTGAGTTCCACGATGCTGCGTGGAGCTTTGCACAGCCGAATGACAGCGTCGACGCACCCGAGGCTTCGAGCAGGCCAACTAAAAGAACAAGAACTCAGATTGCTGGCAGCAAAGGTCTCGCGAATTAGGAGTGCTGGTCAGTGGCTGTGGTCGACTTTCTTAGGTCTTTGATGTGCATAGCCTAATAGCACCAAATAGTTTTGAATTCATATTTATATCTTCAGCCTAGACATGGTTAACTTACCTTGTTCAGTGCCCGGGAGGAATGCGACTGGGATGGCCTTTAATCGATGGGTCCTAGTGGAAGAAGACGAAGCTGAAAAGATGTGAGAAATGCCCCTGTATTGATTCTGTCTACTGACCGTTCTACATCTTGACAGTCAGCTTCGGTCTGATCCTTGATCCTCTTCCTCCAAATCCGTTTCTTAACTTCTTCTACCACTCAACCTGATACCTGTTTAGTTCTTCCCCAGACCTTTACACCCTGCTCACTTCTCGGTATAAATAATAATCATATTCTTCATCTTTTGCTCCTTTTTTTTCTCCTTTTTTTTAAACTCTTTGTCTCTCTCGCTTACTCAGCAGCCACATGCATCCAGCCAATCACAGATCGCTTATTCATGTGCTTATTTTTAGGTCCCAAAAAGGCGGCGAAAAAGAAACATCGGAAAAAAAAGAGCGATAAAAAGGGCGGTAAACTCGACCTTTTCTTTTACACCAACAGGCGAAAGACAGACACGAAATACAGGAAGACAAGACAAGAAGAAAAGATAGAGAAGAGACAAGATGGAATCTCTGCTGCAGCAGTCCCGCGCGGTCTGCCCGTTCCTGAAGAAGACTGCCCCGTCGACCCTGCGTGCGCTCTCCACCACCACCAAGCCTAGCTCCAGCGTTGTCGGGGGTACCATCACCAACCTCCAGGTCGTAGCCAGGCGCTGTCCCGTCATGGGCAAGGCTCTCGCTGTCCAGAGCTCTCGTATTGCCCTAAGGAGCGGCGAGGCGAGGGCCTTTGGCACCTGTCCTCGCTCCGCCGGTGCGGCTGGCCTGGTCAGGGAGAACCTGCGTCGAGGGTCTGGCAAGGCGGTCTGTCCAGAGTTGAGGAAGGGATTGCATACCACTTCTTCTCAGGCAGCTGTCGTTGACCCGCAGGCTGGTGGAAAAGTCAGAGGTATGTTTTCATAACCAGGAAAGTAAAAAGGATATGATGGCTAACTAAGCTGTTGCAGGAGTCCCCATTCCTCCACAAGCCACCGTCAAGCAGCTGAACCGTGCGAAAGAGACCTTTGCTGGCCCCAAGCCGGCCATCCCATCCACCACTGCCAAATTTGACTATGGGGCTTTTTATAGAGGCGAGCTGGATAAGAAGCTCAAGGACAAGTCCTACCGCTACTTCAACAACATCAACCGCCTGGCCAAGGAGTTCCCCCGGGCTCACATGGCCTCCCCTGAGGACAGAGTCACCGTCTGGTGTGCCAACGACTATCTCGGTATGGGCCGTAACCCGCATGTGCTGAAGAGCATGCACGATACTCTCGACAAGTACGGTGCCGGCGCGGGAGGCACACGTAACATCTCCGGTCATAACCAACATGCCGTTGCACTGGAGAAGACGGTAGCAGACCTCCATCGAAAGGAGGCTGCCCTGGTCTTTAGTTCTTGCTATGTTGCTAATGACGCTACCCTGGCCACTCTCGGCAGCAAGCTTCCTGACTGTGTGATTCTCTCTGATAGCCTCAACCATGCTTCCATGATCCAGGGTATCCGCCATTCCGGTGCTAAAAAGTACGTCTTCAAGCATAACGACCTTGAAGACCTGGAGATGAAACTTGCTGCTCTACCCCCCGGAATCCCCAAGATCATCGCCTTTGAGTCCGTCTACAGCATGTGCGGCTCCGTTGCACCCATTGAAGCTATATGCGACCTTGCTGAGAAGTACGGTGCCATCACCTTCCTCGATGAAGTCCATGCCGTAGGCATGTACGGTCCTCATGGCGCCGGCGTGGCGGAACATCTTGATTACGACACCTACGCTGATCCTGCGGCAGACGTCAGGGGCACTGTCATGGACCGTATCGACATCATTACTGGCACTCTCGGCAAGGCCTATGGCTGCGTTGGAGGCTACATCGCCGGATCCGCAGACCTTGTCGACACCGTTCGTTCCCTAGCTCCAGGATTCATCTTCACCACCTCCTTACCCCCCGCAACCATGGCTGGCGCCACCACTTCCATCAATTACCAATCCTCCTATACCCGTGATCGCACCGTGCAGCAGCTCCACACTAGAGCAGTCAAGTCTGCTCTGGATGCAAACGACATCCCCGTCATCCCGAACCCGTCACACATCATCCCCATCCTCGTCGGAGACGCAGAAGTCGCCAAGAAGGCTTCAGACATGCTCCTCGAAGACTACGGCATTTACGTACAGGCAATCAACTACCCTACCGTCCCACGCGGCGAGGAACGTCTCCGCGTTACACCCACGCCCGGCCACACAAAGGAGTACCGCGACCATCTTGTCCAGGCTCTCAAGGGCGTCTGGGAACGCCTCGGCATCCGCAAGACAAGCGACTGGAAAGCAATCGGTGGCTTCCTGGGCGTGGCTCAGCGCATGAAGAGAAGAACATTCCCCTTTGAAGGATGACAGCTTGCCTCGCTGCCGGTGAGAGCTGAGAGTGCCATCGACGCGAGTTGAGCTGAGCAGTCATAGACAGCAGATCATCGCAGTGCTGTGATGTGCAGCTGAGCAAAGGCCACTCGAGCTGACATGC